ACTTTCCTCTTCCTTCACAGGGACTACACCATACACCCATAAAACAGCTGTATCCTTTCCCACCATTGCAGCAATCATGTCATAATGGCTGCAGTCAGCTGTGTTAGCTAACCCTGCTGAGGACTGGCCTCCACAACATGATGATTAAAGCACTTGTGTTTGCTGATGTGTTGCCAGCCAAGCTTCTCACATTTGATATCCTATCATTCTTGTAGCTGCATCAGTGGTAGTAACTGGGGGAAATTTGAGAGGGAATATCCTGGTGCCCTGTCACTCTTGGTATTGTTTTGGTGGTACTCCAGGTGCTCTTGGTTCAGTGCCCTTTCCTGCTGGACTTCCTTTAAAAGGGTAAGACCAGTAGCAGTTGGAGGACTTATTTATCCTAAGCTATAGGAAAGCAGCATCCAGCGTATCAGCACACAATCTGTCTACCATGTTTACCTTCCTGGTAGAAGATCACGGTTATTGATACATGACTTCACCCTCCACAACAGAAAGATGCAACATGCACCAGGAAAAAAGCTACAAGCAAGGGAATGGCATCCTCTCACCAAAGGGTGTGTCTCCTCGAGAAGACCCGCAAGATGAACTCAGACTCCTGATGAGGTTCTAATGTGGACGGGATGATGACGTAGAAGCCAGGACGCAGTCGGTAATCCCGAGTCACTTCCCGGTCATTCAGGAAGACATGGACTTTGTTCATAGCCTGGTTTCTGGTGAAAAATTCTGGAGGCAGCCTTCTGTTGCTTTCATAGTACTGTTAAGGCAAGAAATGTAAAACACAATTCCCATTGGTTTTAGTCTGTTGAAAACATGAAAGGCATGTTTCAGTTTCTATAGACTGCAAGCAAAGGAGACAGGAATTAGAAATCTACTCTCCTTCATCTTTTTACCAGTCTCGGGTTGCCCTGATAAGGCATTTTGATTAGCCAGTTTTGGAGTCCCCTGTGGTTCAGTGGTAGAATCCTTGTCTGCTACACTGGAGACCTGGGTTCAATTTCAGGACACTTATACAAATACAGCCATGGAGGCACCAAATGTCTGGACTCAGTCTGACCTTCGGATTCTGTCTCAGTGGGCTAAAGTAGAGATGGAAGATCTGGGCAGCCTCTGTTCCACCAAAACTCCTGCCTAAGCATGTGTATCAAAGGTCTGGGTGACCTTGAGTGCATACACCATGCTCCAGAAGGATCAATGGTTGCCAAACATTGTCCAGATTTGAAATAACAAAGTGATTAGAGCTTCCACCAAATCCCTCTGGAGCCTGTTCTGCAGTGCAACTGATCTCACTGGGAACAGCAGCATAGGCCTGGCAAGGGGAGGGAGCACCTGCCTTTGCAACCTGCTTATTATAGGCTGCTGCAGGAGGCACTTCAGCCCCCAGCAGAAATAACAGGAGTCAGGAGCTGTTCTAAGTCCCAGCAGCTTTCTGAGGAATGTGTATTAGCTGCTTTGCTACCCCAAGAAGCCTGGGATCCATTGCTGCATTGAGTATTATGTCCCCAGCTTACTCCCTCCTATCTCTAGTCTTGCCCAGCAGTACCCTGGTGTACCAGAGATATGAAAGTGGTACTGACTTTATAGGACCCTACATGTCCCATAGGTCCTATGCGACACCTACACCTGGGGATCCTAGTCCAGAGTACGATATCCAGGCCCCTATAAATGCATGTCTTGAATATTCCTGGGATCTACTCAAGAAAGCAGCACTCTGCTCTTACAAATAGCTTGTACTTGGCAGTAATCCTCCAGGAGTATTAGCAAGGATAAGAGAGTGGAGAGAGAGTGAGCAAACATGCAAGTGAATCTAATATGTGCTACTAATGGCTCCAATGAAGATAGAAACAAAGCAAATACTTCCACTGGTGAAGAATACTGGAGTCACCTGATATTGGCCATTCCTCAAAATGGTTCAGGCTTTTCACTTTCTCACTGGGTTGTGGAGATGTTATTCCTCTGCTTTTGCCATGTTTCTCTCATGCTAATGAAGCAATCTATCATTTCAGGGGCCCAGGGGTTGCCCCTTTTCATGAACCATACATTAAATTCATGGCTTTTATGCTTCTGTCAATACTGTGATTCATTGTGGTTCCAATTCAAAAAATGCTCTCGGTTTTACATCTCTCAGTATTAATCTTGACGTTCAATACAAACCTGAAATTGAACTCCCAGCTGCCACCAGCCCTGGTCTCCCCATTAGCATGGATACAGCACAGTGCTTCTGTGCTTTCATAATCAGTCTCAGCCCCATGTGTGTTAGCAAGTACAATCTCACTCTTGTTCTTGACAGCACCTTCAAAGAGTTGAGAAAGCGTCTGAATCTGAGGCTGCCGTCCTGATAATTAACATTGTAAATGCACTGTAAGGACTGTCCACTAAAGTTAGTTCATTGCCAATCCAAATTCATGGGGACACTCATTCTGGAAGCATTAATTGGCCATGAAGGGGTAGGTACAGAGCCGAGTCAGAGCCTGCTCTGCAGCCAAAAGGTGTAAATCAGGGCAGAACTCAGCTCTCAGCTTTTAACTTCCAGACCTAAGCTCAGATTCCAGGGTCCCTCATGGGGAAAAGTTTTAAGAGCTTCCTAAAAATGTTGGATGAACCTACGTGGCAGAAAACACCTGTACCATTTTCCGTAGAAAATTCCCAGCAGTGAGATACTGGGAACATTGCACTCCCCTGAGACACCTGGTGAAGACCAGCCCAGTTCATGGCAGATCCCAAGACTGAGAGGAGACCATAAATGTAGCATAAAGCCACTTACTCTCTTCCTCTGCACTGAACTGCTAAAAGCACAGACACAAATCCAGCTCAGGGTCAGGACCATAAAACTAAAATGAGCTATAATCCCCCTGAAATTAATTGAGTCATATCCCTGCAGTGATTTCTGTTAATGTTTTCTAAAGCTAGTCCTAGAGCAACTGGCCAAGAATCAAAGGCAATCCCAGCACCATCAGCAGTGGCATAACATCTGCATTTCCCTTCATGCAGTGCCTTTGTAGAACCAGTAGAAGAGAGCAAGGCACTTACCTCTGGGCCCACCTAAATGAAAAGAGAAAAAGAGAGAATGTATATCAGACTGCGAGCTCAGAGTCCTTTAATTCACAGCAAACACAGATGTACTCTAGTAACTGGAAGAAGCCAAGCGGATTAAGTTTAGAATCTCTCACTTAAAAAAGCCCCGATTCCTTCATTCGAAAGTCTTTCCCAGGCTGCCTACAATCTGTTTGCTATGCTCTATGAGGAGAGGTGTGACAACAAAGGCGTCAGTGCTTTCCGTAGATTAAAGGAGACTGCTTTTGGTTGAGTGGACTCAGGGAAGTACAGTTTGTGCCAAGAATACATTTCTCAGTGTCCATGCTGATAGCAAAGCATGTCAGCTGTACAGCTCCTATAGAATCAGCTATGGAGGGAGAGGGATGGGTCTCCTGCTTGTGAGATCCAAGTATCTTTGTGCTACCCTTAGTGTGACCCTGCAGAGGCATGATGTCCCCACTGGAGATCTGTGATTAGTATGCTGGGCTGAGTTTGCAGAAGAGCTGAGCCCTCCGTGACTCCAGCTGAAGCTCGTATGGAGCTGGGGCTGCTCATGACCTTGGAAAAAAATCAGGCCTCATGTCCTCAGAATGTACACAGGGAGAAGTACAGCTTGTGGGCCACCCATCCCATGTGCTGGCCAAGATATCAAATGCCATACAGCAGGAACTGAACCAGAAACCCCATCACTAAAAAGATGAGTTGCTACAGCTTGAGCAAGAGCCCTTCTACTACAATTTGAGCTCCTAGAACTTGAGCAATGGTTCCTTTTGCTATGTCAGAAGGAACACTTCTAATGTCTTGTAGCCTGACAGGAGATCATTTCCAGGGCTTGATAAAAAAGTCAAGGAGAATGAACTCCATTAAGACCCAACCCTTTTGATGTAAGCAGGTTTTTTTTGGTTCAATAGGAAGCATGAGCAGACCAGGAGAGGAAGCAACAGGCTCCTTTGGATTTTGTGGGATGTATAATTCTGGAGATCTGAAGACCCTCACTTGCTTTGAAAGAACAGGACACCTCTCTTGTGCTGGGTAGGACAAGTTTTCTTTGAGATGGTAGATCTGATTCCACTCACCTTATAGACAAAAAAGCCAATGTAGAGGTGAGGTACCCGGTTCCGATGTTTGCTGCTGTGTTTCTGAATCAGGGACACCAGCACACTACAGGAGCGCAGGGAGCATTTGCTGCTGTCCCCTGGCAAAACTTTCAGCCGATACTGGGGATTCATCCAAAATGTGCCTAAGAAGGAAAACAAGATAACACTTAGTTTCATGTTCCAGCATGCAATTTGTTATTTTGCTCCCATGTGCTTAGCTTCAGGCTGTAAAGTACAAAGAGCAGAGGGGTCTGCCTAGGAGAGAGATGTGTTGGTTCAGGAGGGAAACCGCAACATCAGCTGCTGCACAAAAGGCAGAAACAACATGAGCCTCCATTCATGTCAATGGATGGACACAAGGGACAAACATGCTCAGTATCAAATTGGGACAGATGAAACAACACTGGTACAACAGGAACCCAGACTTCTGAGACTCCGAGGTCTCAATTTTAAATTAGTTATGATTATTTACATTGCAATCCCTGTGTCCAAGTCAAGAGCATAAGTTCTGAATGAGGCTGTAAAAGCTATTCTGATGGCAGCACAAATGGTGAGCAAAATGGTGAGCAAATACATTTCTGTAAAGGACTGGGTGTATCAAACCTTGGGAACTTGAGCAACTGGTGCCTCCTGAATCTGGGGGGGTACCCGCAGAAGCCACCGATGGTGGCGGCCCTGTCGGGGGGGACACCAGCCCTGCTGACAGCTTCAGTTTCAGCTGTCAAGGGAGGCACTGGCCCCATCAGAGGGAGCATGTGCACCCCCATGCACACCCTACCAGTTGCCTATGCTTGGGAGCATCCGCCCAGGTTTCCCTGCTTATAAAAACGTGCCTCAGGGAATCTCAGGGTAACTCTCTAAGCAGCAAAAGTTGGGGTTCCCCACTTTTGGACACCTGCCCACGGGTGCATCTCCATAAGGGTGAAAAACCCATGTGGAACTCAGTGTGGAGGCATGGGACCTGGGTAATTCCCAGCATCTGTGCCTCCATGCTGGAACCCATGCTGACCCATGCCTCTCTGTGAAGTATGGGTTGTCATGGTACCCAATGCAGATCTCAGTGTAGAGGCACGGGGCACCAGGAATTCCCTGTTTCCCACACAGCCTTATACCTCCTTGCCAGGACCTATGCTGACCCATGTTTCACACAAATCATAGGTCAGCATGGGTCCTGGCATGGAGGCACAGGGCACTTGGGATTCCCCGGGTTCTGCTCCCTTTGCCCCTCCCCCACACTGGGACCTCCACCAACCTGTGCCTCCATGTAAGGCACCAGTTGGCACAGAACCCAGATCCCAAAAAGGAGGCACAGGGCAGTGAGAGAACCAGGGCATACCAAGGCAGGGCCAGTCCAACCACTAGGTGAACTAAGCAATTGCCTAGGGTGCCAAAATTTGTGGGGGGCACCAAAATTATATTCAGAACAAAATAACTGGAACATCATTCTAAATAACAGCCATGGCTAGCTACGGCTTTCACATTGGGCCAGCCCTGCCCCCAGCCCTGCTAGTGCACCTCACTCCTGACCTGCAGTCCCTGCCCCCAGGCCAGCAGTGCCCCTCATTCCTGCCCAGTGCACCCACCCTGTGGGGCCAGAGCCGGAGCCAGGGTCAGTGCTAGGGCCCGTCTCCAGGCTGCTCTCCTGTAAAAGTTAATTCTAGACTTCTTATTTTCCTCTATAATGGAAGTGGTGAGGGCGCTGAGGTACACAGTTCACCTAGGGCACCAATTACCCTTGGACCAGCCCTGTCCCTAGGCAAAGAGAATACATTGCCCTTTATCCTGCATTGGGCTCCGAAGACAAGTTTTTCACCCAATTAAGTGACTGAGCTGTGTTCAGATGCGTCCCACCACAGCTTCACCCACTTCATTTGGCAAAGACTATTTTTATCCTAATTGGCTAAATTGTAGCCTGACCTATGTGAGATGGGGCACACAGGTTGCACACTCTAAGGCACAGAACAGAGAAATAGTTGTGAAATAGTCCCTGTCTTTCTGCTGCCTGGCGGCTTCAAAGGGTTATAGTTTTCCCATTCTCTGCAACTGGGGGGGAGCTTCCCTTTTTTCAGATAAAAGCTGAGAGCCTAAGTCATTACCTAACCACAGGAGCTGGGTGAGTCAGTAATGTTATGTGGCTTATGAAAAAATAACAGGTTGGCACTTCTGCAGCAACTTTGCTGCTTCCTCCTTGCTCTTTGTTGCCTACTACTGTAATTTCCCCTTCCTACACTTTCCAAAAGTTTGGCTGCTCTGTGCATTCTTATTATTTGCTCAAAGACTAGAGTAAAAGTAAGACACCCTGGGCACATCTACATGTTCATTAATGTGCCATAGTTACTATGCATTAAGTTCAGTACTTGGTTAACCAAGTACTAAATCCATGCACAGTAACTCACACTACTATGCAGTAGTGCTGGCGCATGGGTTTTTAGTGATGCTTACCGTGCAGTAGCCCAAAACTACTGCGCAGTAACATATTAGCACTGTTTTTGCCCTGCACAGTACTGTGCAGTGTTATTAGGTTACTGCACAGTTAGCATCTCATGTAGACACCCCATGTCTACAATGACTAGGCATGAGACTGCCTTGATGCTTGGTCTGAGGACTTTGGTAACAGTATCCAAGAAAGAAACTCTTTAAGTGTGGGGACAGGGGTGAGGGAGGGAGGAGGGGCAAGAGGCGGGGCAGGCAATCCCTGTACAGACTGTGAGAGAACATCTGGGCTGCATTATTTCCAGGAGAACTTCCTGGAACGTGTCCTTAAATCTGATAGTGCCTCCCCATAACATTATGTCTTGGGCCTAAACTCATCCCTGACGTAACTCCATTGATTTCAGGGAGTTTCAATCAATGTTGTCCTTTGGCCACCTACCCAATTACTGTACTCAGCCACAGTGCTTCAGTCTTTGCACACTTTGTTGTAGATTTAATTAAGAGCAATGTTATTTTTTGATTAAGTTAGCTGGGGACATTTAACAGTTTATTTGTAATGCCCAGGGGTCCACTAACCAAGACACTGCATAACCAGGCAGTAAGAGATCATCCCTGCCTTGGAAAAATCTTGCAATCTAAAAAAAGACAGTGAGGCAGAACTATCATGCTCAGAGCTTCTATTGATTTCAACAGGCATTTCTGAAAAGGCAAGTCTTAAACAGCATTCCCAATGCCACAGGGAAAGTCTCTCTCAGAACTGACCATAAACCTCTTGAGTCTAGGGTGGCCATTTGTCCGATTTTATAGAGGACAGTCCAATTTTCTGGTCCTCTGTCCTCTGTTGATGTGAAAATGGACACCTTTATGTCCTCTATTTTTCACCACTTGGCACCGCCCCCCCCCACCTACACCTGCACAGCCGCCTGCGGGAGCTCCCCGCTCGGCCCACCCCTGCCACCCACATTGCCACGGCTGCCTGTGGGAGCTCCCCACTCGCTGCCACCATGCCCCCACTGCCGACACTACCACCTGTGGGAGCTCACTGTGCCCCCCACCCCAGTCTCGGGAAGCAGGCGTTGTTCATGGTGATGGGGACAGTTGCTCTAAATGCAACTGTCCTCTATTCTTGAGGTACCTCGATGGCCACCCTACTTGAGTCCCAGTCTAGTGTTATCATCACTGTAAGACCCTTCTTCCTCTGTGAGTGGCTTTCTGTTATAGTAGAGCCTAATAAGATGGAACAGATACAAACTTATTAATCTCCTGGCTATCCTATAGGTATTTTAAAAGGTCTAGAATTTTTGCTAAGAAAGTGTAACCCTTAGTCTTGAACCCAGGTGATCTCTGTGTAAACCAACTGTGCTGTTCATAAATTATACAAGAAAACTTTAGCCTGAACCCTGATCCCTTAAAAGGGGATCCAACTGCTGCTCACCATTATACTGCTTCATCCTTCCTCCTGCTGTGCTTCCCCTGACCCATCTTCCAATTTGCTGAGAGTACATCCACTTCTTTCCGTCCTCCTGGCTCACAAGGTCTGGAGTTAATTTACAGATCATCAGTTCTACAAAATGGGTCTTAAAATCTTGCAGAGACATCCTGGGAAAAGAGAACCACGAGGTGTCTTGTCAGCAGCTTACGAGTCCATATGGCTAAAAAAGGGAGTGGGTGTCTCCGACACTGCACCATCCCATGTTGCATATGGTAATGTTCATATTTTATGAGACAGTGAGGAAATGAATGTCTGCTCCAACAACAGCATGCAGCAGTAGCAAATGAATGACTAAAGGTTCAGCAAAAAATAGCAGCAGAGAGAGGGAGATTAAATGAGAATCCAAGCAGAGGAACCAGTAAAAGGAAACTGGCCACAACATTGCCACCTGCTGGCAAAAATGAACAGAAAGCAGGGGAGTGACACTCAAGAAGATCTCAGTAAAGCTTTGTCCTAGTTTAAGCTGAAAACGTGAGGGAGGTGAAGTATCCAGTCTGTGTGATACTAGCACTCCCATGCACCCCTACTAGGTGACCCCTACTTCATACTGAATATAGTTTAAGTTGTTGTAAATCATGTTGCACCCATCTCATCCTAGAAAGTGCAGTGCAGAAACACAAGCTAGCTGCAGCTTCAGCTGTGGCCTCAGAGACAGGTAAGAGGGAAGAGGAAATCAATTGCATAGAGCTCCCGTACCAGAATTCACCATCTTCATTATTTTTCCGCAGCAAAATCTTCTCCTTAGGGCTGAGCAGGTCCCATTTCCCTGAGCTAGGGAAAGAAAAAAGGTATCTGATTTCTGAAGTCATGACTAAATAAATCTGGTTTCAAATTCAGCAAGTCTAATTCAGAGCTCAATTATAAAATTTATTCCCACTTCAGAACATACATCAAATCTTTGTTTCAAGCACTTTTATAGTCATCACTTGTCTGCCATGTGACTACTCCAAATGCAAAAACAAAAGTAGGAATTAGACTCTCAGCCCTCCTTCAAGAAGCATAGGCCCCTATCCCTTGAGCTGCAAGGAGTATATCTTTGTTCCTGTTAGAAATATAGGTCCCATAAAACACATCTGAGCAGTTATAATGTTTCTGCATAGTGATTCAGACATGCTGGGCAACTCATTAGTGTCCATGTGTTGCTTCAAATATGGAATTCTGGCTCTACTGAGTTTGTTAATTTTGTGCAGAAGGAAGCATAATAAGAAAGTACTCTGCCTAACAAATAGGATAATATAAGAGGCAGCTGGAAGTTATTTAAAAGGCAAGACTACTTCTTGTTCTTTACTATGACTTTCAAAATGGACAGCCGGTATGGTTGAATTATGTGACAGACACAGACTTAAGAAAGGTTCTCTAAATACAGGGTGAAAGCCTCACACATTCCCAACACCTCATTGCTCTTTACACCCCACAAAACCTGGTCAGACTGGATTGACTCAGGGTGTTAAGTGGGCGCTAGCAAAGGAGGAATCTACTACAACCTAACATGAGGCAGGGCTACAGCACTTATAATCCCTTTATAAGTGTGACTCCAGTTTTGGGGCTGGAATAACAGTCATTCTTCCTCTGTGGTGGAGGGGCAGTGACTCCTATTCTTACCATAACCTTTCAGATAGCAGTAGCCAACCTTTATGATAGGTGTAACATTTACTAGTAACCCCTGATGTTACCCAGTGTCCCCAAATTCTGTTACCACTGGGATGTGGCAACAATGAATTCAGCAGCACCTAACCCTAACAGCACTAAACCCTCAAGGCAGCACTAACCCCACATCTCCTGCCACCTCCCCAAGTGCCACTCTGATCCCTGCCCCCCCCGACTCCTGTCACTGGCTCCCCCCCTGACCCCATACAGCTCTAAGAGGAGAAGCGAGGTTCCCAATCACTAGGTCTATGTGAACTACCAGCCCTTCCACCAGTTTCCTCATCATTGCTAATTGGCCCTTCTGCTCCATCATACATAGCAACAGCGGGGTTCTTCCCTCTCCAAAACGCAAGTTGCTAAGACCTTGATGGATTCTCCACTCAGATCTCAGAACCCCAATATTTATGCAGGGTACAGAGAGCCTGGCCAGGTCCCTTGCAAAGAGCAAATGGCACAGAATAGACTAGATTTCAAAGTGCGCCTTACAATTCTAGCTGTTCTGCATGCAGCTTTGCTGGCAATCTACACCACATCAATTTCATCATCATGTAATGTTCATATTATGTTCCCTTTGACATAAAATTAATGGAAAAGTAGAGGTTGGGAGCAGCATGAGTGAAGTAACTAAATTAGCCGAACTACATTAGTGCTGATTGATGGAGCAAAATCACTCCATAAACACTTTGCTTTGAAACCAGAGGGCCTACAAAAGCAGCTGTTTGTTATATTAATGCCAGCGTCATCATTAATTTATGCCTGCAGGTGGCAGCAACATTTCATCCATCCGAACACTCCCTGCCCGGCACTAGACCTTTCCAGTTTTAAACTCACCTATCACTCCAGTCTCCTTTCCATTCAATTTTCCCCCAGGGATTTCTCAGTCTCACTAAATTTTCTGGTCCATGCGAGCAAGTCACCTGCACAAAACAATACCATTGAGTTTGCCAAGCTCCATTCAGGCCTTGGATGGTTTACAGCTGGGTAGCATGCCAGAAGATAAGTATGTGATTCGTCGCCTTTTATGTATATGAGGATAATGTTTCTGATGCAGCTTTTTTCAGTGACACTGGTGAATGTGTAATTCTGTGAACTGAAGGATGGTGTGATTTGACCAGGTTCACACAGAAAGACAGTAGCGGAGTGAGAGAGCTTACCCCTCAGGAATCTTAACACGGGCCCTTTCAGTCCAACAGCTATATAAACCTTTGAAAATCAGCTTGACATTGTACCTTTGTGTTTGAAGACAGGGCCCCAAAATCTTACCCTTTATTTATTTATTTATTTATTTATTTATTTATATTAAATATAAATGAATGAATACACTCGTCTTACAATATTGCAAAACAGCCAGTGAGGTTACTGCAAGACCTTTAACTAGAGTTCTCCCTGAATTCCAGTCTAAAGGATAAAAGGAAGGACAGCAATGCAAGAGGGCCAGGAGATGGTTACTTATACCTCACATGATTACTTATTTCCTCACCTCACACAGCATTTTGAGGTGTGCTCCTGCTGTCCCAAGTGTTCCTGTCCTGCTCCAGCGAGGGCTGCAGGAAGTGGCTGCATGGGGAGCTGTTCCCTCCCCATACCTTTGCTCCTAGGCTGTTGGGGAACACTGAAGGAGGGGCCAGGCAAGAAGGGGGAACCTGCTAATTCCACTGTTCCCAGCTGAGCTGAGCTCCATGCAGCCTGGCTGGAGCAGGGCAGTAATAACTTTAGAGCCCATCCCCATCTCAGAGTCAGCTAGAAACAGCGGCAGCAGCAGGCTGGAAAAGGGAGAACAGGAGGAGAGGTGCCCCTGTGCATGGAGGACAAGTGAGGGGAAACTGAGCAGGGGTGCAGGATTTCTTTTGCTTCTGGGATTTGAAGCTCTCTGGCTGCTGCTCCCATGCTGTGAAAGGCAGGGGGATGCAGCCACACTACTGCTCTTCTCTGAATCTACCCCTGCTGACACCCCATGCCATTCATTGAGAGGAGGAGGTGTGGGGAGCAAGAATGTATGTCTGCTACCAACACCTGCCCTGAGTTAACTGGTTCAACTTGGAGGCCTGTGTATGTGCCTACATGTGGCATGGGTAGATCTTCTCCAGTACCTTTCCTTCTGGGGACAAGAACTCATCTTCAGGGTCCCTGGCTAGTCACCAGAAGAAGGTCCTGGAGTTCTTGTAACTGGGGGGGAA